CTTTTGTGGAATATTAGAAAGTCTCATATGCCATAAATGCACAGTGAAATTTTTTGATTAATTTCAGGTTAGATATGAAATAAGTAACTTATCATAATGATTTGTAGGTGTTTTTGATTTACTAGAAAGATCCTGCTCATAAGAATCTTTGAGAATCAGACAACACTGGTCGTGTTTCACACTGTAGATTCTAGGTATGCACAATAAATATGTACCTAATTTATATTATTTTTTTTATTTTATTTTACATATGCTAATCAGACCACTTCAATTTTAATAATTTTTAGAAGATTCAATTGAAACCACTTGGCTCAAATGATTTTTTTAACAAGAGAACAAAGACTGTTAGCCAGTGGGGTAAGAAAAAAATGTAACACAAGACGTGTTCTCTGAGTACAAGTCCTATTATCTTACACCATTTTGCTTTTCAAGTAAATTTATCTTATTTTAAGGATAGTTTAGATATTTTTACTGGAAAACAAGACAAAATACTGATTTAAAATGATTGTGCAGTGAAACCAGAGAATGTTTTCAAGCAGTTCGAGTATCGTTTTCTGTACTGACATAAACAGCAAGTCCGGAGCCTGTCTCATTTTCAAATTGTCCTCACTTGGCTCTCTGTTTGAAGCTCCGCATGAGAGAATTAAGGACTGAAATCAATTTGAGCACTGCCATTTCCCCCTCAAGTGGCTTATTAAAACATTACGCCACTGCCTGAGATTATTGATTCCAATCAAATCTGTTAGCTTCATTAGCTGATAGTTTCGCCCGTTCAGGCGGATGAAAGATCGGTGGAAATGGCAGCTGATGTTATGATTTAGTTGTTTCCGATCACATTACGTTTTTACATTTAAATGCCAGTGAGGCTTTGTGTATAGAAATAGTAGCATATTTGCTCAGGCAGGGGTTTTTGAGATAGCAAAGCAAAAGCTTTTTAGATGATTAGGGGTTGGATAGAAAGAGAGCGAGCAGGAGCCAGAGACCTGTGCAATGCATTTAATCTCATAAAGTAATGCGCTGTGCTCACATTCAGCAATCTGCTCATCATGGTGGGCTGAAGTAGCTGACACTGTGACACGTGGAGGTAGAAATCACAGTAGCAATAACTCTGTTCTGATCTTTGTGCATTGCTGGCTCAACATGAGAAAGCATGGATACACGCTTTGCTTTCCTCAGGAGCTGGTAGTACTAGTCTTATTTGGTGCATAAATATGAGTCTTTCTTTCTTGACTGTCCGTATCTTTTTTCCATGTTGTTGATTGTAGACACTGTTAGATATAATAGTACTGTGGTGGTACAATGGCACATTAGGCACGTTTCCATTACAGATTTGCGCAAAACTTTGGCGATATTTTATAAATGTTGATAAAAAAGTATTGCGAAATGACAGCATTTCCATTAACCGATGTTATGCGACTAAAACGTTTTTTTTTTCCTCTCGCAATATGTTATGGCAACGGATTTTGGTGGGATTTTGACTGATTTTGGCTATATTTAATCAAAGGATGCGTATGCGTATGCGTGTATCTTTACAGAAGCAGCACGGAGAGCCGCTTCAGAAACGTGCCGTGGCTGGCCGGTATAAACACAAGCATTGACTAGAGCGGCCACGATCAGTTCCGGTTCCCGTGGAGCCGTAACACGCCGCAGACACGTGCAGTGAGGCGCAGATCAGCTCTAACGTCACTGAATGTGCTGTTAAAAATGAACCATCCATTCATCATATCATCATGCAAAACATGAAAAATAGCGAATTTTTCATTGTTTCTCGAAATAGCATTTCCACACCAGCGATGACATGACTGCGGCACCAAATCATTTATGTCCCCACGCATCATGTACGTCGTCACGCGTTGACGTCATCAAATTGCAATCGGTTCGTGAGATCGGCCAAGTGTAGTGAGTACCGATCGAGTCATAAAACGTGATTATCGGCCGATGCCGATACCGATCTCCGGCTGATCAATCAGAGCATCCCTACATTTTTACATTACAGTTCAAAACTCTGGGGTCTGTACTTTTTTTTTTTAATTAATTCAGTAAGGAAACACAAAACTAATCAAAAGTCAAAAGATTTTCTAAACGATTATGTGACTGAAAACAAGAGAAATGGCTGCTGAAAATTCAGCTTGGCTGCAAAATGAATAAATTCCAGTTTACAATGTATTAAAATAGGAAACTAGAAATTTATTTTAAATTGTAATTATATTTCATAATATTGCTCTTTTTAGTATATTTTTGATCAAATAAACACCATGGTGAGCAAAAGTGACCCACTTTTCTTTTTTTTTTACGGTACTGTATTTTTTTTTCCAAAGGCAAGCTAATTTTTCCTGTTTCTGTCTGTTTCAGATAAACTTACTTATAGAAAGAGGCAGCCCTTCTCCCTCCTCTTCTTCCACCTCAGATGCTTCACTGCTCTGTGCATCTTTCTCCTTGTCCTCTTCCCTCATCCCACCCTGCTCAGTCTCATCCTGATCATGATCCTAAGGATAAAAAAAATAAAGATAAAAAAAACATTTAAAGTCAATTTATGACATTCAAAAAAAAAAAAAAAATCATAAACACCAATAGTTGAACAGCTGCTATTTGTTGTTGTGTGAAATCAGTAAGGACAACAAATAGAAGGTGTTTTCCTCAATCTTTCTCGTCACTTCATACTGATACTGCAAGCTAACAGTGGGGCTTTAGATTAAGAAGCAGCGTAGCTGCTTAAGTGTTTTAATGTGAATGTTGTAAGTGTATCAACAATCATAACTTACTCTGTCTTCATCAAAATATGATGGGGAGAATGTATTTTCTCTCTCTAGAGTTCTCGCCTCCTAAATAAAAAACACACTCATCATTCTACTTACTCAAACACAGAAGCATTGTTCCGACACATGACGATGATTAATCACTCAAGCCTACCTCAGTGTGAGGTGAGTGTTTTGGAGATGTTAGATCAGAGCGCCTCTTGGTTCGGTGTTTGCTTTTGGAGGTGTTCTGATCTAAATCCTGCATCAGTCTGAAGAAGGCAAGCTCATTAAAGAGGATCTCAGAGATCTCTACTAGCAGGTCCTCACCGCAGTCTTGCAGCGTCCGCCCAACAAACTTACTCAAGGAGTCCTGTGCACAAAACCAACATCATGGTCATTATTACACTTCAAGCATTTATAATGAAATGCAGGCTGTGATCCAGCTAGTAGTGACTACCTACATAGACTACATTTTAGGGCATCACATGTTTAAATATTCAAACACGCTTATGATTCTCAAAAATACTGTTCTTCACAAAAACTGCTTTCATTCATAATGTGTGCACAATATCAGTAATTATATTTCACGATAACAGTACATTACTTTTTGTTGTTGTTGCTGGAAATAAGGTTATTACAATGCCAAAAATTTATATAACAGGGAAGTTTCACAATTTTTGATACCAATATCGATATCAAAAACACACAAAAAAAAAAATAAAATAAATAAATAATTATAATAATAATAAATTAACAGCTAATTTAAACAAATTAAAACTTTACAAATGTGCTTACCTGCAGGATGCCGCCCAGCTGTCGGTGGAAGAACCGAACAAACTCTTTGCTTTCGTCATTTTGCCGAGTGAGTTTGAGCACCATGCGTCTCACAGATGTGAGCAGCTGGTGTGAACACACCTCCCCAACATGCTCCTGACAGAAAGACAAAGCAAATCAGCAGGTCTATGAACTGCTGCTTTGCTGGTTAATTTATTTGTACATTTTAAAAGAAAAGTAGAGCAAGCTCACCTTTAGGAAAGGAATAACTTCTGTCATGATAGCTTTGATCTGTCTGTCAAGCTGTTGTGTGTCAATCTGAGGACAATGTGCATCTGTAGATGAATGTCCTGCACCTAAAATCAAACAGACATTGACACACATACACAGAAAATACATTATAACGCAATTAGGTCTACTTGAAGTATAAAACCCAAGCATTCATTATATGTACGTTTAAAGCAAGCAGAGCTTTAGCCAGTGCTAATTATAAACATCCCCATAATCATTAATAGCAAACTCTCAGACTAAAGAAATATTCCAGGTTATCTTCAACCTAATGAATGGGAAAATTAATTATCAAATTATCCTTCTCAAGTGGGACTTTTTGTCTAGGTAGAAGAATGTATTAAGCCACACTGAAGGACACATCAAAGTTGCAGCCTTTGAAAATCAAGAGACTGCCACAAGTGTGAATACATAGTCGCTAGATTGTAAAAAGCCTGCATTATTCCTTCTAGACAGAGAATCACTGGCCATGATTAGAAGTCACAGTCCATCATAAGCAGATGCAACGCAATATGTTTCTGATCAGTCATTTGCTAGCTGTTTGGTTTCTATGCTCGAAAATCTCATTGAATTGATTGTGTATGGAAACTTGTTGCATTGTATCTGGTAGGGACACACAGTTAGAAGCACTTGCAACAGAATGTTGGGTCTAATCTGCAGTCCGAGAGTGTTCACAGCAGTACCTTGAGTGAGTGCTGAGGCGGCACCAGCAGCAGCACCAGGGCTGTGCTCAGGGTTATCTGCGCTACACTCAGCCCTCAGCTTCATGCGCTCATACTCCCTCATCCTGGCCAATGCCTTATCTAAATGAATTACTGTGTTACCTGGAGGAGCAGAAAGGAAATCAATGGATAGAGAGAGAGAAAGAGAAACATAATAGTATTCAAGAGATTTACAACAGGATTCAGACCAGCACAGCCCCAGCCCAGCAAAGCAAGCATGATTGTGGTAAGCAACCCATCTAATGTGTTTTTGGCATGATGCATACAGCTCTGTCTTCTTACCCAGGTCATCACTAGCAAAGGGTTCAAGGTTGGAAGAGGTGGACAGCAGGCTCTCGTTGTCCATCGAGTCTCTATCTGCTACCCTCTTTAATACAGAGTTGGACTTAACTGTTACAATCTTCTCAGATGTATCCTGGAATCATAAGCCAACATTAGCTTGTGTGATAATTAAAGAGAGAGAAAAAAAAAAAACAGATGAGTGAGCATGTGTCTCACATTGTCGCTGGTAACCAAGCTCTCACTAGGTGTGAGCTCTGACTGGGAGCCTGTGGCCCATACAGTTGGACCCAAAGAAGATGCCTGCTCATCTGCCACGCTCTTCTCAGTCAGGTGCCTCGTTACAATATCCTGGTGGTCAGAGCCAACAATGAAATATATTATTATTATTATAACTATATTATTACTTTAAAAACAGATGCAGTCATCACAAAAGAAAACCACACAACTACGAAAAGAGATCTACTGATATAGTGAAAATAGCCCTTTGGTATTAAAGCCAGGGTCTGTGAAGACGAATTAATAGTTTTACAAAGTATAGGTATGTTTTTGAGTAAAATGAACATTTTTGATTTATTCTATAACTACTGACATTTCTCCCAAATTCCAAATAAACATTCTCATTTAGAGCATTTAATTGCAGAAAATGGCAAAAAAGATACGTTTTAAGACCTCAAATAATGCAAAGAAAACAAGTTCATGATCATTTTTATTTTTAAACACAATACTAATGTTTAATCTTAGGAAGAGTTCGGAAATCAATATTTGGTGGAATAACTATCAATCACGGCTTTCGTGCGTCTTGGCATGTTCTCCACTAGTCTTTCACATTGCTGTTGGGGGACATTATGCCAGTCCTGGCGCAAAAATTCAAGCAGCCCAGATTTGTTTGATGGCTTGTGGCCATCCATCTTCCTCTTGATCACAATTCAGAGGTTTTCAATGGGGTTCAGGTCTGGATATTGGCTGGCCATGATTTTGATCTAGTGGTCCACCATCCACACCTTGATTGACCGAGCTGTGTGGCATGGAGCACTGTCCACAGACACTGGAATGGAATGGCTGCCATACATGTAGATGCTGAAATAGATGCTGATTTGGAGTGGTCTCTTCCTTTTTTCTAGAGCTGTATATATCATTACAACATCCCATGCCATCTGCATATTTGTTTTGTACATTTGGCTAATCTGATCATTCTTTCAACATTCTCAGGTCTGAGGAACTCATTTTCCATTTAAATCCATTTTGCAGATTTCCAACACAATTAACACAAATTGTGGAAAACCATCCAGTCTTCATGTGAGCCTGTTGTGTCTGTAGAAGTGTGCACAAGTTTGATTGTTGTGTACTGTACCTGTAGTGAGTAGAGGGCCCTCTGGCGAAGGTAGTCTGTATTGAGCAGCTGAAGCTCATGGAAAAGTTCGATGAGGAAGTGAGGGCGAGACTCATTCTGAGAGATCAGCGTTGCTACCTCAGAGTAGATCGTCTCTCTCAGGGCCTCAAACAGAGAGAAATCACTGCTCACATCTAGAGAAAAGAAATACACACAGAGAGAACAAAATGAAAGACGAACACAGACAATCTACTGTCAACAGTAGAACAACTGCTGTATGTGCAAACTAATTATACAAAAAAACTAAACATGTACGCAAACATGTTTTACATAACTTCAAGTACATCATTAGCAAGACCTTTAGTACTTGAACTTCACACAACGTTCAAAAACACTGTTCACTTAACATTCAAGAAAATTTAAGAGATGTTTTTACTCAACACCATGCTCAGATCCACAGTTCTGTGACTTCAACTCAAAAGCAAAGGTATAAAGTGACAGTGAAAGTGACATGTGGCCAAGTATGGTGACCCATACTAGGAATTAGTGCTCTGCATTTAACCCATCCTAAGTGCACACACACAGCAGTGAACACACACACACACACACACCGTGAACACACACCCGGAGCAGCGGGAAGCCATTTATGCTGCGGTGCCCGGGGAGCAGTTGGGGATTCGGTGCCTTGCTCAAGGGCACCTCAGTCGTGGTATTGAAGGTGGAAGAGAGCACTGGACATTCACTCCCCCCACCTACAATTCCTGCCGGACCTGAGACTCGAACTCACAACCTTTGGGTTACGAGTCCGACTCTCTAACCATTAGGCCACAACTTCCCAAACATGCCGATAAAACATCCATAACAAAAAATAATGATGTTAATGGTGTTATGAATAACAGCAGATTACTCCCATTTCTTCTCCCCAAATTTGCCAATGTTTTGAAATGATACTGGACTATAGAAATTAACATTATACAACTCCGTTTCTAAATTTATATCTACGCGAGAGATTCTGTGCCCTGAAAATTAAAACGCCTGCTTAAATTAATTAAAACGCCACTTAGTACTTCCTATGCAAGTCGATGCAGTTTAGAAAAGGAGAAGAGAAATTACACAAAGGAAACATGCCAATAAAAAAAATATTAACAAGTAGTTAGCAGGTCAAACAGCTGATGAACTTGGGAGTTACCTGGGACTTCAGTGCATGCAATTCTGTTAGAGAGAAAAGGTGTTCTCCAAGCATATGCTGTGAAGAAACCAAGCACAAAACCCAAAATGAAATGTGAACAAAAACAGAAATGAAAATGAAATTAATGAGTAACACTATAAAACAATATAAGGGCAAAGGGAACATAAGATGTTCAAATTATATGGACATATGATGTTCAAATTAAATAAGAATGGAGAAAAGTCAGTTTTCTTGCTATACTGTTGTGGCAGATGCTTCTCTGGTTGAAGAATATACAGTAGCCTAGTGTACACTGTATAACAAGACTGTTCAACTTCTCATAGTTCTACATGATATGTATAGTTCTACTTGATATGTTTAGTTTATCCAATGATATCTGTAGCAGAATCTATAAAAAGGCATACCAGATGATAGGTCATTTGGCTTGCTGTTCTTGGTCTTGCTGTCCAATTTTTCCTGTGTGAGTTTGTCTAGCAGACCCTGGTTGAGATCTTTGTGTCTGACCTGAGAGGAGCGCTCTCTGTCCTGATCAAAGTGAGAGTCACTCGAAGCACTGTCACTGTCCACAGATGCTGAAAGTGAGAAGAACAAAACTGAACTCCATTTGACTGAACTGGGTGACTTAAACTAAGTTTTCTTTTGCCTAATTAAAAAAAAAAAATCCATATACTCAATTAATGTGACTGAGATAAACTTTGCTTTTTAATGGGCTGTTAAGTTTGTAGTTTGTCAATTTTAAATAAAGACACACCTGTGACCTTTTGTCCCCTGCCTCTCCTGCGGCGGCTCTTTGTGTTGGGGGTCTTGTCTCTAGAAGCCAGGCTGGCCTGTGCTGCAGCCTTACGTCCTGCTCTGAAAGTCTTGGTGACAATGGTTGGATCTGCCCTGTCTGGAAGGCTGCTTATAGACTCCTGGGAGTCAGGTATGTAAGAAAGATCCCGGGAAGTGGAAGGGTGAGGGACAGGAGAGGAGGAAGGGGAGTTCTGCTCTATTTGACTTTGATGGTCAGAGGTGAGGGTGGTTCTCTGACCAGAGCGATTCAGAGAGGAGTTTAACCAGCTAGAGTTGTTAGCATCGGGCACATTGTCAGGTTGAGACTGAAACCTGTAAAGGGAGGAAAATTAACAAGATTAGGCACAGTTTTTCTTCCTTTTTGTAGTTTACACAACACAAAGTAGGTAATTCTTGCATTTTCACCTGACTGCGATTAATATAATTATGATTATATCACTTTAATCCAAACTACAGAAACACATTTGTACCGTTTCTTTGCATTATTCAATGGAGATCTCTGTAGTGGAGGGGGGAAACTCATGTATTCCGTTTTGAGGGATATGTTTGGATCATGCCGTTTATCTGAACTGGCCTGGTTCTGCTGAAAATCTCCTACTGAAGAGGGAAATATGGGACTGAAATTAAAGCCTAATGCCAGGAAAAAAAAATGAAAGAAAAAAAGTTTAGAAGTTAAACATTAATACATCTGGAATTATGTAATTTTCATTTAATTAATTAAATTCCCTAATTTTACAAATAGATAACAGACATACCATTTGGGAAACTGGAGAAGTTTGGGAGTCCAGGCATATTGAGTGTATTCACAGGAGGATAGTTTACGAACAGAGAAGATGATGCAGAATCATGGCCAAAATTTTGATGTTGCTGTTGTCCTGACAATGACTGACTCTGCTGCTGCCGTAACAGATCATTCAGAACCTGTTTCAACCTACCAAGAGGGGAGAATTTTTTTTTTTTTAAGTTATAACAAATGAAACCAAAGCTTGCTTTAAGTTTAGACCTACAATACCATTTAAAAGTTTGGGGTCAGTATTTTTTTTTCTTGAAAGAAATATCCTCTCAAAAGACAATGACATTTACAATTCTATTTCAAATAAAGGATGTTCTTTATATTACAGTTTAAAAAGATACTAAAATACAAAACAGTTATTTGTAATGCTACTCACACTATTACTGTTTATACTGTCCTTTTAGATTAAATAAAGGCAGATTTAGGGAGCATTTGGAGAGACTACTTTCAAAACTACTTCCAAAAAACCTGATACCAAACTTTTAAACTGTACTGTATCTACAGTAAATACCTCATTCTTCATGCTTAAAAAATGATTTTACCAATTGATATTTATTATTTTAAAGTCTAAAGACCCACCGATTGACATTGTTCTGCTGCCAAGCCAGCTGTGTGTAACACTGGTTTAGTTGGTGCATGATAAGAGGGATTTGAGAGGTCCCATTATTGGATACAACACCATAGGGGTCTGTGAGTAGAGCCTGCAGCATGTATGAAAGAGTCTAGAGATGAGAGAGGAAATAAAAAAAGTTGTTAGTAAGAAAATAAAGAAAGTTAAAAAAAATGTTGTATAGGGATGCAATGATACTAAATTTCTCTGCCAATTCCGAATGTCAATACTAATGGCAATACAATATAATTATATCTGACAATTTGGTTTTCCTGAAGAAAAAAAATTCGGTAACACTTTATTTTGAGGTGTTCTTGTTACACGTTACATGTACTTACTATTATAATAACTATAAATTATGCATAATTACATGCAACTAACCCTAACCTTATAGTAAGTACATGTAGTTAATTAATATTACTCAAAAAATGAAAGAAAAAAAGTTTAGAAGTTAAACATTAATACATCTGGAATTATGTAATTTTCATTTAATTAATTAAATTCCCTAATTTTACAAATAGATAACAGACATACCATTTGGGAAACTGGAGAAGTTTGGGAGTCCAGGCATATTGAGTGTATTCACAGGAGGATAGTTTACGAACAGAGAAGATGATGCAGAATCATGGCCAAAATTTTGATGTTGCTGTTGTCCTGACAATGACTGACTCTGCTGCTGCCGTAACAGATCATTCAGAACCTGTTTCAACCTACCAAGAGGGGAGAATTTTTTTTTTTTTAAGTTATAACAAATGAAACCAAAGCTTGCTTTAAGTTTAGACCTACAATACCATTTAAAAGTTTGGGGTCAGTATTTTTTTTTCTTGAAAGAAATATCCTCTCAAAAGACAATGACATTTACAATTCTATTTCAAATAAAGGATGTTCTTTATATTACAGTTTAAAAAGATACTAAAATACAAAACAGTTATTTGTAATGCTACTCACACTATTACTGTTTATACTGTCCTTTTAGATTAAATAAAGGCAGATTTAGGGAGCATTTGGAGAGACTACTTTCAAAACTACTTCCAAAAAACCTGATACCAAACTTTTAAACTGTACTGTATCTACAGTAAATACCTCATTCTTCATGCTTAAAAAATGATTTTACCAATTGATATTTATTATTTTAAAGTCTAAAGACCCACCGATTGACATTGTTCTGCTGCCAAGCCAGCTGTGTGTAACACTGGTTTAGTTGGTGCATGATAAGAGGGATTTGAGAGGTCCCATTATTGGATACAACACCATAGGGGTCTGTGAGTAGAGCCTGCAGCATGTATGAAAGAGTCTAGAGATGAGAGAGGAAATAAAAAAAGTTGTTAGTAAGAAAATAAAGAAAGTTAAAAAAAATGTTGTATAGGGATGCAATGATACTAAATTTCTCTGCCAATTCCGAATGTCAATACTAATGGCAATACAATATAATTATATCTGACAATTTGGTTTTCCTGAAGAAAAAAAATTCGGTAACACTTTATTTTGAGGTGTTCTTGTTACACGTTACATGTACTTACTATTATAATAACTATAAATTATGCATAATTACATGCAAGTAACCCTAATCCTAACCATATAGTAAGTACATGTAGTTAATTAATATTACTCAGTACTTAAATGTATAATTACACTGTAACAAGGACTACTTAAAACAAAGTGTAACCAAAATTTCTACCAACTAATGCTGTAAATTACACAGGGAACCCTCTCATTTGGTACATTAGTATTATGCAACTATAAACTGTTAAAATTTTCCTGTGTTAAATACTGTGACAAAGATCACAAGCTGTTTTATTTATGTCTTTCCACAGCTGAAACTCTGATCGAGTGATTACATGAGACATGATACATTTCAGAAGGTTGTACTGTATCTTTCAACATACTTTCAAACATACTTTCAAACATTCTGATGTAAGTAGAGAAGTGCGCTGCCACTTGAACTGAGGCACTACAGCGATCTGTCACACCACATTTAAGAGCTTCAAAACAACATTTATTGTTTGAATTTTGAAATAATCGGCTCAGATCATTGGCTGTTTTTAAACAATTGGCTGATACATCTGTGTATCCCTAATTTTGTACACTCTCTGACCTGTTGATCCTGTAGCAAGGTTTGGCACATGGTAGTGCTGAAGTTGAGCTGTTTCTGGAGGTGTGTGATCTGTTCCTGCCAGTGTGTTGGTGCAGCGTCCTCAGAGAGAGACAGATCAGCCGCCCATCGCAGGTTCTCTTGCCGCTTGGCTCTACTGGAACTACCTCTTTCAGTTTGCGGCTGCTGATGAGGGCGACCCCTTGATCCACGGGGGGAAGGACTCCCATTAATTTCCCTGTGAACTTTCAGACTGCATGAATTGACAAGACAGTTAATAACTGATGGGTTTGATGTATAGTATAGTATAGTATCGTGTGCCTGTGCATTTACCCATCTCTGTTATTCCTGCTGTAGTTGCGTTGTTTTTGAATGGAGCAAGCATGCAGCTCATCGGTGGAACTGGACTCCTCTCCCTCATCATGTTCATCATCGTCATCTTCCTCAGCCCCCACCTCAGAGGAGTAATCATCATCATCACCAAGGGGACACTGTGTCGAACCACCCCAGGTGGCCACGGTTCTGATAGAAAAATGAAGATTAGCACCTTTAAACAAATTCAATCCTCGCAGCACATATTTAAAACATTTTGAAACACTAAGCCATGAGTTGTCAAGGCCATGTGTTACCTTTCATCACGGCTGTAGGACTGGGTCTCATGTGTGTCACTCCTGAATGAAGAATCGTTGAGTGTGCTTCTCCTCTGCTGTTCTGCCATCAGACTCTCCAAATGCTTCCGCCTCTGTCTCAACTCCTCACGCAACATCTGATGCCTTCGCATCTCCGACCACAGCTAATACAAAAAACAAAAAACCTTTGATAAAAATGAATTTAAATAAACCTTGGACTTCTTTCACCTTTCTGCAAACAAATCTGAGGGTGTATTCACACCTGCCTTGTTTGGTTCGATTGAATCTAACTTAAGTTCATTTCCTCCCTTGGTGCGGATCTTTTGAACAGGTGTGAATACAGAAATCGCTCTCGGGTGCGGACCAAACAACCATACCGTAAAAGATGACTATTTTAATTTTTGGGTGAACTATCCCTTGAAATCCCTTCCTGATATAGAAAGGAAGCAAAACTGCTATTTCAAATGCACACTAACCTCATTGTCAGTGACAGTAACTGGAGGAGGTTCAGTGGTGGGTTTGAGGCCACTTGTGTTGGCTTTAGCGGAGGAAGAGGAGTGTAACGGTACAGGAGCAGGAGTAGAGGCTGCTGCAGGAATCTTCCTCATCTGTCCACTGACACTACTGCTCACAGACGACTGACAGGACACATGATTAAATTAAATAAGACTGTCTCAGCAGTTGTTTGTGTCTATGAGAGTAACATGCGCAAAAAAAAAAAGCACATTTGAAGTACCTGCAGGTCAGGACAAGCCCATTGTAAGTCCTGTATCTTGCCCTGAATCTCCATCAGTCTCCGTCTCTCTTCATGTAGATGCTTAAGTTCCTGCTGCTGCTGCTTGAGTTTCTCCTCATATAATTTCTCTCTAAAAAAACAGGTATTATACAAGCTGTTCAACAAAAGGCACTTTGCAAAAACATGCTACAGCATGATATTAAAGCAAGTTTACAAACAACACAATATGAACTGAAAATGCAAGCAAATATCTCATTTCCATATGAGAAATATACACTTACCTGGTCTTTTCAGAGAGGGCGATGTCTCTCTGGCTTTTGGGAGCTGTTGCTCGGGTGTTATTGGGTTGTTCCTGCAAACCCTCATCCTCATTAGCTGTAGTACCATCTGTATCATCACTCTACAGTAACATTAACAGACAAATAGAAACAGTCTTTAACAGGTTGGCAAAAGAAAGCATAATAAAGAAAAAGCAGACAGGAGAATCTGAAAAAAAGTGTTTGCTTATACAAGCTACACTATATTTGCATTGATATTATATTTATGCATTTAGCAGATGCTTTCATCCAAAACAACTTACAAAAAAGAACAGAAGCAATTCATCCAAGAGCCAACAGTATTCATAACATACAATGACAGGTTTACTAATAAACAACTCGATTAGGAAGCAAGGTAAAGAAAAAAAAAAAGTATTGTTAGCTGCTTCTTGACAGATGTGATGTTCTCAGCAGTCTGTGTAGAGGTTGGCAGCTCTGCATTATGAATAACCAGAACCTCACATCAGCCTCATGGCTCCAGACTCTCACCTGCACCATGGCCACCAGTTCTTGGAGTTGTCGGAGTTTCTGTTTGGCTGTTTGAAGACGACGAACTTTCTGAGCATAATCTGTGTCACCACCTAGACTGCTTCTACGACTGGAGCCTGAACCGTCACAGTCTCTGCCTCCTCTTGCCCCATCATCTTCCTCCAGTGCCTCATCATCACCCTCATCTTTAACACCATCACAAGGCCTGTCCCGATTGAATTGGCATTCTAAAGTGATAATGAAAATAAAATAAATAGTTAATAGGTTGATAGTTTTGTCAGCACAGCTTGTTTTTAATTTTAGGTTAATAAATTTATTCAAAGACCGACTGTGTCGACAGATATTGCACAACAGTGACTATTTCTAGGTTTGAAAGGTTAGGAAAACTTGAAATCGCATCATATGACCCCTTTAATTCTCTGCCAACTAGACATGTGCGGTATTCGGTAATGCGATATATCACGATAATGAATATGCACAATACTGTTATCGTGGGCACTTCAAAATACAGAGAATAATTATTTATTACAAATTATTAAAAAATTGGAATGCATTTTAAGAATACGTTTCCCATCAACTGGTCACAATGCACAACACCGTTGTTTGCGTGTGCACTCTGATGTAAACAAAAGATGCATCAGAGACGTGTGTGCACTCGGATGTAAACAAGCACGGATGAGAAGCACATGGTGGAATGCATGAGAGACGCTCTGAATGAAAGCACATTCACTCTCTGGACCTGTTTACACTAGTGTGTTTTCGTTTTAAAACGGCGTAACCGTAGCAAAAGTTATGCATTTTAAAACGAAAACACACTAGTGTAAACAGGGCCTCTGACAGAAGATGGCGCTGAACAGCAGAAATGCAGCTGTTACCCCGGGAAACTCAGTAATCAAAGCAGCTGCGCTACTTTCTGTTTCTGAAACGTGTTTAAATAATTTAAATAGCCATTCATATTTGTGTGTTCACTATGGTGTTCATCACAGCACCAAATACTGTTTTAATTCTTTATTGTTCAGTAACACTTTACATTAGGGCTTCATTAGTTGACATTAGTTAATTCATTAGTTAACAAACTGCCAATGAAAAAAATCTTCTAAACATTCATGAATCTTAGGTAATTCCAATATTTAATAACACGTTGTTAAAATCAAATGTTGCAACTTTGTTATTTAATGAGCTAACATGAACTAAGAGTTGTATTTTTTAAACAAAGATTAATAACTTCTGTAACAAATGTAGCTATTACTCATTGTGAATGTTAATGCATCAACTAAGGTTAACTAATGAGATCTTATTGTAAAGTGATACCTATTGGTCTTTATAATTCTTTTGCACTTTAATCTGTGTAAAATTTGTAACTTTATACATTTTTCAGGGTTCCCACTCTTTCATGAACACCAGATTCAAGGACTTTTTAAAGCACCATTTATTTTATATCAAGCACCTATCAAATTCACACCCCAGCATATGTAGGGTCATGTTTGCTTTTAAACTGTAAACGCTTTTCACTAAGCTGTTTTTTCAAATTTTCAAGTTCTACATTTTTCTCCTTTGCTCCATGTTGCATTAAGTTTTGGGAGTTCATTTTTAGTCTCCTATCCTGAAAAGTCTGTCTTGCAGAGACTGACAAAAATGAGCTCCTAAAACTTACTGCCAGATTTTGGAAGATCAATTCTTCAAACAGTGGTACAAGAGGATGTGGTGCTGGTCCTTCAAGAGTCACTCTCAACTTATCT